GAATTTCAGAATTTCAGAATTTCAGAATTTCAGATTTTCCGAATTTCCAAATTTCAGACTTTCAGAATTTTTGGATTTCAGAATTTCCGAAATTCTGGAATTCTGAATTCCAGAATTTCTGAATTTCTGAATTTCTGAATTTCTGAATTCTAGAATTATTGAATTCTAGAATTATTGAATTTCTGAATTTCCAAATTTCAGACTTTCAGAATTTTTGGATTTCAGAATTTCCGAAATTCTGGAATTCTGAATTTCTGAATTTCTGAATTTTTGAATTTCTGAATTTCTGAATTTTTGAATTTCTGAATTTCTGAATTTCAGAATTTCAGAATTTCAGATTTTCCGAATTTCAGGATTTCCGAATTTCCAAATTTCAGACTTTCAGAATTTTTGGATTTCAGAATTTCAGAATTTCAGAATTTCAGAATTTCAGAATTTCAGAATTTCAGATTTTCCGAATTTCCAAATTTCAGACTTTCAGAATTTTTGGATTTCAGAATTTCCGAAATTCTGGAATTCTGAATTCCAGAACTTCTGAATTTCTGAATTCCAGAATTTCTGAATTCTAGAATTATTGAATTCTAGAATTATTGAATTTCTGAATTTCCAAATTTCAGACTTTCAGAATTTTTGGATTTCAGAATTTCCGAAATTCTGGAATTCAGAATTTCAGAATTTCAGAATTTCAGAATTTCAGAATTTCAGAATTTCAGATTTTCCGAATTTCCAAATTTCAGACTTTCAGAATTTTTGGATTTCAGAATTTCCGAAATTCTGGATTTCTGAATTTCTGAATTTCTGAATTTCTGAATTCCAGAATTTCTGAATTCTAGAATTATTGAATTCTAGAATTATTGAATTTCTGAATTTCTGAATTTCTGAATTTCAGATTTTCAGATTTTCAGAATTTCAGAAATTCAGAATTTCAGATTTTCCGAATTTCCAAATTTCAGACTTTCAGAATTTTTGGATTTCAGAATTTCCGAAATTCTGGATTTCTGAATTTCTGAATTTCTGAATTTCTGAATTTTTGAATTTCTGAATTTTTGAATTTTTGAATTTCTGAATTTCTGAATTTCTGAATTTCTGAATTTCTGAATTTCTGAATTCCAGAATTTCTGAATTCTAGAATTATTGAGTTTCTGAATTTCTGAATTTCCGATTCTCGGATTTTCAGAATTTCAGAATTTCAGACTTTCAGAATTTCTGGATTTCAGAATTTCCGAAATTCTGGAATTCTGAATTTCTGAATTTCAGAATTTCAGAATTTCAGATTTTCCGAATTTCCAAATTTCAGTCTTTCAGAATTTTTGGATTTCAGAATTTCCGAAATTCTGGAATTCTGAATTCCAGAATTTCTGAATTTCTGAATTTCAGAATTTCTGAATTCTAGAATTATTGAATTCTAGAATTATTGAACTTCTGAATTTCCAAATTTCAGACTTTCAGAATTTTTGGATTTCAGAATTTCCGAAATTCTGGAATTCTGAATTTCTGAATTTCTGAATTTTTGAATTTCTGAATTTCTGAATTTTTGAATTTCTGAATTTCTGAATTTCAGAATTTCAGAATTTCAGATTTTCCGAATTTCCAAATTTCAGACTTTCAGAATTTTTGGATTTCAGAATTTCCGAAACTCTGGAATTCTGAATTTCAGAATTTCAGAATTTCAGATTTTCAGAATTTCAGAATTTCAGGATTTCCGAATTTCCAAATTTCAGACTTTCAGAATTTTTGGATTTCAGAATTTCAGAATTTCAGAATTTCAGAATTTCAGAATTTCAGAATTTCAGAATTTCAGATTTTCCGAATTTCCAAATTTCAGACTTTCAGAATTTTTGGATTTCAGAATTTCCGAAATTCTGGAATTCTGAATTCCAGAACTTCTGAATTTCTGAATTCCAGAATTTCTGAATTCTAGAATTATTGAATTCTAGAATTATTGAATTTCTGAATTTCCAAATTTCAGACTTTCAGAATTTTTGGATTTCAGAATTTCCGAAATTCTGGAATTCTGAATTTCTGAATTTCTGAATTTCTGAATTTTTGAATTTCTGAATTTCTGAATTTTTGAATTTCTGAATTTCTGAATTTCTGAATTTCTGAATTTCTGATTTTTTGAATTTCTGAATTTCTGAATTTTTGAATTTCTGAATTTCTGAATTTCTGAATTTCTGAATTTCTGATTTTTTGAATTTCAAGATCTCCAAATTTGCAAATTTCAGACTTTCAGAACTTTCGGATTTCAGAATTTCAGAAATTCTGGAATTCTGAATTTCTGAATTTTTGAATTTCTGAATTTCTGAATTTGTGAATTTATAATTTTCAGAATTTCTGAATTTCCGAATTTCAGAATTTCTGAATTCTAGAATTATTTAATTTCTGAATTTCAGAATTTCAGATTTTCAGATTTTCAGAATTTCCGAATTTATAAATTTCTGTTTCTGAATTTTAGAATTTTTTGATGTTTAGAATTCTGAATTTCTCAATTTCTGAAATTCCAAATTTTCAGTTTTTTAAATTTGAAATTCT